AGACCGAATGTCCTTCAAAATACTTGTCCTTAGGTTGGGAGGAGTAGGTCTCTCCAAACTTCTGTGCAAATTGCCGCTCACATGAAACTAAGCTACCCTGGGCATAACAAGTAAAAAAAATGTAAAATAAATAATGACCACATTATTATGGTTAATAATTATTATTATAATGACCTCTACCCTTCCAACAACGCCAAATGTAACACTTGTAAGTGTTTTGTGCAGAGCCCCTCTGATGACATGCTCAAAAAAATAATAACATAAAAGTTCATAAAAATGCTTATTACTACATACAAGTTGTATTATAATCCGTAATTTAATTGAAAACTTGCGCTCATTAATTCAGCTTGTGTTTGAATTCAGGCCGTAAAAAGTGCTGAGTAGAGACGCCCGCTCTCCTCCACTCACAGAATGAGGCTGCGTCTTCTAGCCTCTACAGTGCTGCTAAATACAGTAGCATGTTCGCAGAATTGGGTTATAACTCCTCTTGCTGTAACTGCAGACACAGCAAAACAGCCCAAACGACGCAACAGTGAGGAGGAGAAGAGGGAACTAAAGCGACAAAATGATCGAAGAAATCAAGCCCGGGTGAAAATAGCTAGCTTACAGTACATCGTATCCTCTGGAGAGACTTGTCTATGGGAGAGACCTGCGGGACTGCCTCGGACTATCTATGCTTGGACTACATTCGGACACGGAACTAGCGGTAATCTTTCAGTTATATATTTTGTTAGCAGTGTGTTGCTTTTGCACCAATTCATCAGTGATTTTTGTACAGCTTACAAGAAGTTGCGCTCATCCTAATGTTTGCATATAGATCGCAAATAGAACTAGATGGCTCAGTGGAATGACAGCGTAGGGGAAATGAGAAGCCTGTGAGCGAGTTGGGGGGCGGTGCTGAACATTCAAACCTTGCAGAGACAGGTATAGCTCCTTTAATAATATGATCAGCTGCCAAGCAACCAACCAAATACCTTCTCTAGAACTTGCGTCACGTACGGATCCCCGTACCTACTGTACATGCCCTTAAGTGAGTGTCTTATCTTATTCTGTTCTAGTCAATATCTTGTTATTCTGCATTAAGGCATTACTTATTAGACATTATTTATTTAGGCCTATGTTTGATACTTTGTTAACGGGTAGCCTATCTGCTGACGTCTCACCCAATTCACAAACGGGTTATCCTCTGCTTTGACCTGTCCTGCTCCTCACAGCAGCAAGGCTACACCATCCCTGCTGCTGTGACCCGTCTTGCTCCTCTCAACGGCTACACCACCCCTGCTGCTTTGTCCTTCTTCACCGTGGAGGATGTCCGGGTGGAGCTAAAGAAACTCCAGGGGAGGAAGTCTGCTGAGCCTGATGGGATAACGCCAAGGCTCCTAAAGGAATGTGCAGCGGAGTTAGCTGAGACTCCCCATACCCTCTTTAGCAAGAGTCTTCAGACTGGATGTGTCCCTGCCTGCTGGAAAACCTCCTGCCTGGTACTCGTCCCCAAGGTAGCAAGGCCGGCATAATACAAGGACTACAGACCAGTGGCACAAACATCTGTCATAATTACTTTTGAGAGGATAGTACTCCGACTGCTCATGCCGCAGGTTGAGCAGGCTGTTGACCCCCTGCAGTTTACCTATTAGGAGAAAATGGGAATGGATGATGCGGTCCTCTACATGCTCCATCGATCCGTGTCCTTCCTGGATGGCCCTGGAGGATATGTGAGGCTGATGTTCTTCGACTTCTCCAGTGCATTTAACACCATCCAACCTCTCTTACTGAGGGAGAAACTGGAGAAGATTGGAGTTGAACCCATATTTACCAACTGGATTTACAACTACCTCACTGTGAGGTCACAGTATGTCAGTATGTAGGTTAGGGAAGAGCGTGTCTGGTACTGTTGTGAACAATACGGGAGCACCACAGGGTACCATTCTGGCTCCCTTCCTCTTCACAATTTACACTGCAGACTTCGCACACAACTCTGCTACATGTCATTTACAAAAATACTCATGTGGTACAAGGATGTTGTGGCTGCCTTCTCAGACTGGAGTGAGAGAAATGCATTGATTCTCAATATGTCCAAGACCAAGGAGATGATCATCAACTTTCACAGGAGCCCTTCCCATCGACCGGTCACAGTAAATGGACAGAACTTCGAAGTGGTTCACTCCTATAAATATCTGGGAGTCCACCTGGACCACAGACTGGACTGGTCAGCTCAGGCCAATGCCAACTACAAGAAAGGTCAGAGCAGACTTTTCTTTCTGAGTAGACTGAGATCCTTTGATGTGAGCAGTCAAATGTTGCACAATTTAGCTAGTGCCGTGTTCTTCGGGGTTGCGTGTTGGGGTGGCAGTCTGACCTCGAGAGACGGTAACCGGCTCAACAGGCTGATCAGGAAATGTCTCTGTGATGGGGGGAAGTGTGGACTCTGTCTGAGCTGTGCTGGAGAGAAGGATGAGGGCACTAATGCAGGGCATTCTGGGTAACTTCAGACACCCTCTGCATGACACTATGGCCGCTCAGAGGAGTAATCGAAGCAACAGGCTCCTATCAGTACGCTGCTGAACAGAACGTTTCAAGAGATCCTTTGTTCCTTCGGCAAACCTGGATGAGTCTTCTGCTGCTGGACACCTGAATTTCTCCTACAGGTGATCAATAAAGTATCTATCTATCTATCTATCTGTTAAGTTAACGTTACCATACGTTGTTTTGTTCAAATGAGTTTGGCTCATATGTAGCCGTAAACTCATTTGGAGCAGGGGTTATGACCAAAACTGCACTCTGTCCTTACATCAGAAAGACCAGCGCTCAAACAGTGCTCCAAGCAATTAACACAGTCTTGGTCATTTATACACTGATTAAGCACAGTTTATAACTATTTTCTATCACTCAAAGCATTTGCACACTGGCTCTGGAGCACCCTCTGATCATTTAATCACCGGTTAAACTCCACTCCGGACTATATGTACACCACTCCGAACCATATGATAATAATAATTGAGCGTGTGCATATGGCTTTGAGCACAATGTATAGTATGTGCTTTGAGCACTATGTATATGACTGAGCATTATGTATATATGAGTTTGGGCACTATGTATGTGGCTTTGAGCGTTATGTATATGCGATGTGGCATTGAGCGTGTCCATATGGTTTGGAGCGTTATGGATCGGAGCGGTCTACATCAATACAAATAAAAACACTAATAAATAAATAAAATAAAAACACTAAAAACACTGTTTTAGCTCACCAGAGTCTGATGTGAACAGGCTGGCTCAGGAAGAGGACGTCAGCCTGGATTGCCTGTCTTTTAAAGACTTGGTCATGTGACCTGACCACACCCATGACCACACCTACACCTGCCCATATTGCACCATGAATATAAGAAACACATTTTTAAATTAAAAAGTCAGCTTTAAACAATGTTAGCGTGTATCTGTTTTGTCTGTCTATGTCTACTCATAAACCTTTCCACGTTTGCCACCAGACAAAATTGAAAATAGTGCACACTCAAGTTTGTGAATCTCTAAAAACAGGAATACATATGAGTAAGACAGTAGATTAAACTACAGTATAACTAATTTTCGGAAACGTTGCAAATATAAAATATATATAAGAGTTATATAATAAGACTTGGAAATTGTTTTGGCTCGGTGCAACAGTCAGAAAGAGAGGTAAAGAGTAGAGAAGGCATAATAAAAAAGGAAAAAAATATCAGCAACACGTCTAAGGAAAAAAAAAAAATAGAATTATTGCAATTACTATATACAATATACAAGTGCACATGGTGCACACAATATAAGGTGACAGCAGTCAAGTAAAGTGACATTATATAGGGCATCCTGGTCTTCTTCGGGACAGGGACTATGATGGAGGATTTTGCATTCTTTGTTATACTTAAAGACCTTATGACGGGTTTTTAAAAAAAAAATAGTGGATATCAAAATTGCATGACAATGTCAATTTGAAAAAGATTCCGGCAAAAAAAATCCTATATTTTATAAAAAGAACGTGTTTTTCATGAATTTAAGTTGTCTATGCTCTAACCTGTGTGTGACGTCACAGCGGGTTACGCCCATGCATTGAAAACCATGGATCTATGCCACAGGACTGCCTTTTCTCTCTTCTCTCCACTGATGCCCAACACAATACTGCCCTCTACAGGTGACAATTGCTCACTACACATAAATTGCCGTTTTCAGTGTGAAAAAGAGTCCGAGGTGGGAATTGAACCCAAGTATCTGGATTGGCAGTCCATCGACACAACCACTGGACTATCTCAGTGACAACAAAATGATACATTCTAGTACTTATCTTAGACTTGCTGTACACGGCCTTGTCATCTTGAATATCCGCGAAAAAAGAACGAATACCAAATTGTAAACAACTTACAGAGTTGAAACGTACCCGTTCTGACGTCACCAAGGGCTGTGAAGTTTTTTCGTTTCTAAGGGCGTTGCTATGGGGTTATTTCGATTTGGGGGGATCAGACAAAAAAAACAACAACTGATTTTGAAACCTTTAGTAGTTCTCTTCTAATATAAAATGGTATTAAAACTGTATTTCTAAATAAATCAAACCCGTCATAAGGTCTTTAAATAAGAGCTAAAGTGACTGATATTCGGAAACCAGGCTAAACCAATCTCCAATCTAGGTACTGTTAGTATTAGATAGCAATATGGCCTACGTGCAGGACTCTACAAGGACTCCATGTTATGACTATGATGTGACTGTCTCTTTGTGACACGTATGTCTTTCCATGTGTGACGTGACAATGACTATATAAACTGTGTACTGCCTTTATTCTGTCTGAGAGAAAGAAGCAAAGGAAACCACTGGAACTTGAGAGAAACTTAAATAAACTTCCAGAGTTTGGCGCACCACGATCCGTCTCTGTCTGCTGAATCCTTGACAGTACCAATGTGACAAGGGGCTCCGATAGCTTATGCTGTTCTTACACTCGTTAAACACTATCCAGTCATCAGCCACATGTGTGGAGCCTTACCTTCAGCTGGCTGAGGTATGCGCTCACACTCTTCCTCTTGCTGCAAAACAAAACAAAAGGCAGAGGTGAGTTTGGGTCAGTAAAGCGGGCCCCCGGGAGCCATGCATGCAGGGTCACGGTGAAAGACAGTGAGGCACTTTTAATATCACGCCCTTCCTTCCTGGGGCTGTCCAAACATGAGGATGTATTATGTACCAGAGCAACTTAACAGACATATGGAGATTTCACACCTTGTAAATTTGTGTGATTTAATTGGGAATCGTTTGAGTATGGTCAGGTAGAACATTAATTAATTAAATGATAGTTCTTATACATGCTTATTGCTACTTTGCTATTTCTGTTTGCGGATCATTATGATAAAAATATGGAGGCTAGTATTGAATATTAATATTGAATAGGCCCATGACATCACATTCCCCAGTTGCTGGCAGAATAGTGCTGTACCCAAGGCTTTGTCTTATTAGAAGAACCTTCTAATGCCATGTCCACACGTAGCTGGGTATTTTAAAAAACTAATGTTTTCCCCCCTCCGTTTATAAAATAATTTGCATCCACACATAACCGAACATCTGTGTTTTCAATCACATTCATAACATTCCAAACATGTGCGTCCTCTGACGTCCTGTCCAACATTGGGGGAAAAACACAGAAGTGGGCGGAGCTTTGATGCTGACGCCGGTACTTCTGTAGCGGCACTTTTACAGTCACAGTAGAAACTCAGCAGTGACGTGCGGTCAGATGAGGCAGGTGAGGCCTGGCCTCACCTACAATCAAGGTTAGAAAAAAGAATAAAATGGAAATAATAATACTTGGTCACTATATCAAGTGATTTATGTTATTGTATTATATTCATGTATCTTTGCCTTATTTCATTAATTTTTACCTTGAAATCGCAGATTTTCGTCATATTTTCTCATATTTGACAGAGTGGTGCGGTGCCTCACTTGTGAGACGTAAATGCCCGTAGTTCATAGAGGCAGGAGCCCGTGCGCTGCTATCAAACTGTTTTCTCTGTTTATCACGGTTTACAAAGTTCAAACATATTTCCTTTACAATCAATATGTCTACAGTTGAGAGTATGGGTCATAAATTGTGTTTTTGACAACAAATATGGGTCTTAATTGCGGCCAGACCACGGCTTGTAATGTCACCAAATGAGGCCAGCCTCAGGGTGGGGGGCGCATGTGAGCCCAGAATTCGGCTGGTGTGTGTCGTCTGGTGCACACTGGGGTAGTCTTGCACAGTTTTTCCAATGTGGTAAATGAATCTGAATCTGAATCTGAGAGGTGAAGGGTAAGAAGGTTGATATTATAAATTGGATGCACCTGAGACTAGGCTGCAGCTAGCGAAACATGAGAGGAGTTTATGGTGCCCTGTGAAGCACTTTGAGCAGCTGGTGTTGTTGTATATGTGCTATACAAATAAAATTGACATTGACATTGACATGGAGGAGACACCCGTTTTGTTTTACTTTTTAAAACTCATTGGACTTATTTCTAAATGGAGGATTACATATCTGCGCTCAAACTATTATCTGGATTTAAATATGAAACTGGTCTGAACTGAAGTGGTCCGTGCAGTTCATGTTGACGGTGAGGAAAGGCCCATAACACACTGTTAAATGTGCTTTTTACAAACTTTTTTTTGGTATGAGCAAACAATGCAGACATGAAAAATATTCTGTTGTAGCCAAACAAATTGTGAAAAAGCCACTCTCTAGGTCCTGTTGATTTATATCAGTGGTTCTCAAACTTTTTACATCAAGTACCCCCTCAGAAAATACTTGCCTCTCTAAGTACCACCACAAAGGACAAACACAGTAGCGTAATAAGCCTAAGTATTCATCAAAAACGAGGCAGAGGTTTCATTCCTAAAGAAGCTTTTGTATTTGCTGCTCCTTCTACAAGACTGGAAATGATCTGACTGTATTTCATTGAATGCTTTCAGATCCAGATTGAGAGCACTTGAGACATCTTCAGTGAAATGTAATTGTTTTTATCCATCCATCCATTTTCTTCCCCTTAATCCATTTCTGGGTCGGGGGGGTGGCAGTCAGAGCTGCACCCAGTACACAGAGCACCAGCCCCTCACTGATCCTCCTGCAGGTGGTGAGTCCACAGGAGCTGAGATCTTTCAGTGGGAGCTTCAGGCAAAGTGGGGTTAAGTGTCTTGCCCAAGGACACAACGACAGCAATCATCAGTGGGAGTTGTGAAGTGGGTCTTGTGGTGGGCTCGAACCCACAACCTTCAGGCTCAAAGGCCAATGCTCTACCAACTGAGCCACTGTCGCCCCTTTGTTTGTTTGTCGCCAATTGTTTTTATAATCCGTAATTTTATGAAATTGTATGTGACTGTTTTATAATCTGTAATTGTACAGGACTCCCTTGAAAAAGAGATTCTCATTGACTGCCAGCCATTTTTGATGACTTCATTGATTTTTAAGACTCATAGAAAATTGTGTGCTATGACAAATGAAAAATATGAAACCAGAGTCTGAAAGACAGGACTGTTGTTTTTAGCTTGTTTCGTTCTCCTGTGATCTCCAGTCGAAAAGAGGTGACAAAAAGCACCAGTATTAGACAAAAAGCTGAGAAAATGAAGTGTTTGTGAAAACAGAAGAACTTGCAGAAAAGTGATTGTAACACTATTTAGTTAAACTTTAGCATCTCCTCAAACATGTCCAGGATCTTACATGTTAGAAAACAGCAACAACAACCTGACTATATTACTCCATTACTGCTTCACCTCTGTCTCTCCTGCTCAGATAGCCTGGCCTTAGCCATCCGTACACTCCACTCAATCATCATTTTACTGCATGTAACGTCTGGGTCTAGTCCCTGGGTTAGCGATTACAATCGGTTGAATTTCGACCGACCTACCAGCGAGCGCGGAAGGCAGGTGTTGTGGTTAGTTGTGGGTGACGTCAAGAGTTTGCGTCGAACGGGAAAAATGCGATAGTAAAGTAATCCGGTCTGGTTCTATCAAGAAATTGAAGCCGGAGCAAGAGGAATGTTTAGCAAATGTAATCGCTGGAAAAATTGTGGCGCTACTCCCCACGGGCTCCGTTAGCGGCAAAGGAGATGGCTAGGCTAAATGCTAGCGACTCATTCGGGCGCACTACATACGTCACAGTAAACTCAGATCCAATCGTTTCAATCTGCAAAAGGAGTTAACCCCTCCCACCTGTAAACAGAGCTCAACGGAGCACCTCCAGACCTATGGTGTGGTACGTCCAGGCTACTGCTCAGAGTGCTCAGGCAGTGATCTTTGACCAAGACACCCACAGAGCTCTGCTGTCACCTGCTGGCTTAATAAAATACTGTCTACAGCCAAACCCCAGACATATATGATATACAGACGGACAGGAAAAGATTGAAAAACAATGTTGAAGTCAATTGATGTCAATGACAATGAGTTAATCTCTATGGTACTTTCCTGGTAAAAAAAAAAAAAAAAAAAAGGCTTTGCTCCTGCTTCTGCTTCTCGAGAGAGCAGTCGTGTCTCTCTGCTCTGCTTTTGCTTCGCCTTTTAATCTCCTTCAATCATTTTATTTACATTTTTTGTTTCTCCTTTAATCATTTTATTTACAAAACGAGGATTACTCCTTCTACACACTTCAGCTTTGTGGAATTTATCAACTTTAGTCATGTCGGGACGAAAGAGACGGAGAAGTGTCTGCGGCGGCTGTTGTGCTCTGGAATATCAGCTCAAATCTCTTCAAACACGGATATCTATTGTGGAAACAGAAATGGGACTTAACCCGACTCTTCCAATGAGTGAAAATGGGATGAATGGACAGACTGGAAATGTAAGTTATGACGTCATTTCTTTTCCCAAAATCAACAATGAGAATTATTGGAACAATTGTGGAGCTAAACCCAAAGTTGACAAAGCTAAGAATGACAATAGGAGTGAAATAAGGCCACAACTAAATGTTCTGAAGACTTCAAACTGCTTTTTACCCCTTTCTGAAACAACAAAGCCGCTAACAACTGCAGCGCCTCCACCAAGGACAAACTGTGTCCTTATCGGAGATGGTTCGGTGAAAAATGTAAACATGGAGTCCATGCTCACTGTCTCAGTTCACTCTGCAAAAGTTGCTGAGATAAGGACTCTTCTGCCTAAAGTGTTATCTGAGAAAAGTGGTGTGCGTACATTATTGATCCACACGGGGGCGGTAGATATCTATGAGAAGGCAAGCGAGAAGTTACGAATGGATTTAACGCTGTTACTGGATGACCTAAAGAAAATGGACATAATCATTTTTCTTAGTGGACCACTTCCAAATATAGATGGAAAAATGGAGAAGTTTAGCCGTCTGTATCAGCTAAATACATTCCTACTCAATGAGTGTTCACGCAGAGGACTTGGCTTCATTGAAAACTGTAATCTGTTCTGGAATAGGCACGAGCTTTTTGAAGAAAAAGGTTCACATCTGAACAACTACGGAGTAAAAGTGTTGATGGATAACTTTGCATCTGCCCTAAGACCTCAGCCTGCGCAGCGCGTGCAGCCGTCGAAAGGGAGAAAGAAGAAGCAAAAGGCACAGACATCACGACCATCTCCACCGACTCCTGAGGTCTCTGCACCCCCACCGCCTCAAAAGAACTCCACACCTCCATGATTCAAGAAGAACTCAACACCTCCAAGGTTCCAAAAGAACTCAACACCTCCACGGCTCCGAAAGAGCTCAACGCCTCCACCACCAGCATCATCAGCAGCTGCCACATCTTCATCAGCGCCATCAGCATATACAGCACCACCAGCAGCAGTGGATACAGCAGCAGCAGTGGCTGCTCCATCATCTTCAGCAGCAGCAGTGGCTGCTCCATCATCTTCAGCAGCACCTTCCCCACCTACAGCTCCCGTGAAGCTTCCCCCATTGCTCCAGGCTACAGACAGGCCTGTACTGGGGGTTCCTCAACCACCTCTGTCTCCACCAAAGACTCCCTCATCACCTTCCATGGACCCGGCTTGGGTCCCCCCCGCTACATCCACTCCATCTAGGGAAAATGAGGACAACCTTTCCCTTTGTTTTCTATCCCCGCCTTCACTACTGGAATTACCGGAACACTCGGCAGGCATGATAAGATCGGCGATGAAGACTATTCCTCTCACACCCACTGTAGCCAGATCAAGAGTCCTATCTAACATTCAAAACTACTCCCCATACGTACCTCCAAAGCCACCTAGGGCGTCCAACTCAAATTACTCC